TGCATAACAATCTATTTACACCTTTACGATCCAGGTTCCTAAAGAGGATTAGGCTTTTTGAAAAAGCAGAATTAGTATAACTCATACATAGCAAGAAAACTTTCCAAACAATCTCAAAACTTCACTTTTCTGTCCAGAATGTACACACACTTAACAGGGAGTGCCTTAGAAATGACAACTCCAGTTTAGCACCTACACGTTTTGAATAAGATGCAGCTGGTGTGGCCTTATGCTTAAACTGAAGTATTCAGTTTTACAAAATAGATTTAACAGTTTTTACTCTTTATTTTATTATCCCTTTTTTCCTTTGGGCCATTGTAAAATGTGCTTGTAGCAAAAGTCTCTGAAGTTCAATATAAAGAATTGTACATACCTGGGACAATGGACATGCAAACATTAAAAAAAAACAGGTTTCTTTGTCCTAGTTTCATGTAGCAGTTGGTAACTATAAAGTCTCCTTGCCAGAGGATGTTGTGAAGGCCAAGACCATAACAGGGTTCAAAAAAGAACTAGATAAATTCATGGAGGATAGGTCCATCAATGGCTATTAGCCAGGATGGGCAGGAATGGTGTCACTAGCCTCTGTTTGCCAGAAACTGGGAATGAGCAACAGGGGATAGATCACTTGATGATTACCTGTTCTGTTCATTCCCTCTGGGGCACCTGGCATTGGCCACTGTTGGAAGACTGGATACTGGGCTAGATGGAACTTCGGTCTGACCCTGTAGGGCCATTCTTATGTTCTTAAGAAGTCATGGCTATAACTTGATTATAATTTAATTTGGCCAGGACTTTTCCCCCATCAAACATTAGAAAATTTTTTTTGCTAGCTATATTTTAAACAGTAACCAAAGAACAGGCTTGTGGTATTGTAAAGAAATTGCATAACATGAGAAGTCTTCAAAATATGCATCCAATCAGTTTGTGATGGGTTGGATCACAGAAACCCGTTTGGGAACTGCCAACTGATGTGCCAAGACTACTTCTGCCCCTGCTTTCCCTGCCTGGTCAGGACTCCAGCACCCTGTCTTGTTGACCCAGACATGCCTGTCTGCTCCAACACAGACCCAGGCCTGAATCACACGCCTTAAGCTGCAGTCTTAACTGAAAGCAACTTACAAGACGTGTTCCTGTCTAACACTCAGATGCCCAACTCCCAATGGGGTCCAAACCCCAAATAAATCAGTTTCACCCTGTATAAAGCTTATACAGGGTAAACTCATAAATTGTTCACCCTCTACAACACTGATAGAGAGATATGCACAGCTGTTTGCCCCCGCCCACCCCCCGGTATTAATACATACTCTGGGTTAATAAGTAAAAAGTGATTTTATTAAATACAGAAAGTAGGATTTAAGTGGTTCCAAGTAGTAACAGACAGAACAAAGTGAATTACCAAGTGAAATAAAATAAAACACACAAATCTAAGCCCAATACAGTAATACAACGGAGTACAGATTAAAAATCTCACCCTGAGAGATGTTTCAATAGGTTTCTTTCACTGACTGGATGCTTCCTAGTCTGGGCACAATCCTTTCCCCTGGTACAGCCCTTGTTCCAGCTCAGGTGGTAGCTAGGGGATTCCTCATGATGGCTGCTTCTCTTTGTTCTGTTCCACCCATTTATATATCTTTTGCATAAGGTGGGAATCCTTTGTCCCTCTGGGTTCCCACCCCTCCTTCTCATCAGAACATTATCAGGTTAAAGATGGATTCCAGTTCAGGTGACATGATCACATGCCACTGTAAGACTTCATTACCTACTTGCCAGCACACATGTATACAGGGAGACTTACAGGTAAAACACAGCCATCTGCAGTCAATTGTCCTGGCTAATGAGAGTCATCAAGATTCCAAACCACCATTAATGGCCCACACTTTGCATAAGTACAATAGGCCCTCAGAGATATATTTCATATTTCTAGTTTCAGAGACAAGAGTGGTACATTTATACAAATAGGATTACCACACTCAGTAGATTATAAGCTTTGTAATACCTTACAAGAGACCTTTTGCATGAAGCATATTCCAGTTACATTATATTTAAACTCATTAGCATACTTTCATAAAATCATATAGAGTGCAGCAGCATCACAGTTTCCTTCATAACCTTAGATAAGGAGGCTTCTTGTGTTTAGCATGGATTCTTGCAGGTAAAGCCAGTGAAGTGGAACACTTTACTGATGAGTGACCAATGGCTCTTTTGAAACCAAATCCAACTTGGAATTGTAAATCTCTATTGGTAATAATATCCCTGCATATTTATGATGCAAATTCCATCACCAAACTATAAACCAAATAAATGAAGCTAAAGATATAGTTGCATTTCCTTAAACAGTAGAAAAGTTCACAGTGGAAACTGAGTGAGTTTGTCTTTCTAGAGATGAGATGCTATAGTTTGTGCAATATGACATTATTCATAGGGGATTTGATTTATATTTTGCTGTTTTAAATGTCATTCTGCAGCTAGGGGGGATATTGGCATAATGTCTATTCATAAAGAAGTTACCTCTACTTCAGCAGAGAAGTGGCCTCTCCATTGTTCCTCTTTACTTTAACACCTGATTTATGTTTCATTAAACATTCGGTGACAACCTGATAGATTCACTGCATCACATGCCTTATTTTCTGTTGATCAGGAAGACAGGCAGTGGACAGGAAACTCAGCTGGCTAAATATACCTATTCTAGTGCCAGTTTGCCATTTTTCACATAGCTGTCACTGACTCTCTGGTACGTGCAAGTGACTGGACAAGATTATACTGCTGGCAGTGGTCACTGAGATGGCTTTTGAACCAGCTCGTCTCCAAGGCACATATCAAAATAGGCAGCTGCCCCTGAGAAGCCACAGACAAATCTGTGACACACACACACACACACACGATTAAAGCAATAATCAGGGATAGCCAGTTTTCAACACCTGTGCACTGATTAGTAGGAGTAGCCCCATTGATTTTATGTTTGCAGATTGCCAATAAATACAGTGTTCTACCCAGGACCGGTTCCAGGTTTTTTGCTGCCCCAAGCAAAAAAAAGCTGGAGTGCCGCTGCTGAAGCAAAAACAAAACAAAAAAACCACAGAGTGCCGGCCCTGAAAAGAGCCGCCCCCAAAGGGCCAGAATGCCGCCCCTTGGGAAGTGCTGCCCCAAGCACATGCTTGGAAAGCTGGTGCCTAGAGCCGGCCCTGGTTCTACCTTTGCACAGCACCAGGGGATAAGCAGCAGGTCTGGTCTCTATCAACAGCACTGTTAACGGCAGCCCCCTTGTTACACTAGTGAGGGGTGGGAGGGACTCAGTGATTCTTGCATGAATCTTCCAACTACTTTCCTTCTGGTGCATGTCTCTCATCCCCGGCTCTGGGTTCCTCCTCCCTGGAACGCTCCTATCTGATTCTAATACCAGCTCCTAAACTAAGCTGAAAAGTTTAAAATTGGAATAACTACATCTGTACCACAAAGTGTCATTACCTATATTGTACTAAATTGTCTGTACATCTGTATTCACAATCTATAGCCTGCAAAATTAAGCCTTGGGATATTTAAACTCTTAATTCACACTGTATGCAGATTTTTTACTACTGCTTTACTGAATGACAATTACTCTGGTGTGGATTGTGGCTTCTAAATTGTTAGGCTGCCTAGAATGGTGGATTGGCATCTTTGCTGATTTAAGTATCAGGGTTAGGTTGCGCCAGACTGAGTATGGAGCAGTGCATAGGTGCCCTGCCTCAGGGAGAGCACTTGGAAAGCACAGAGTCTCAGAGGCACAACTTCTCTCTTGAATTGGCAAGAGTAAATTATATACCATTTCAGGGGGCAGCATCCTCCCTACTGCAAGCCCAGTATACTGGTATGTAGTGGGGGCAGCACCATAGGTCTGCCACTCCCCACCCCTTCCTGTCCATTTGCTCACAGGGGATAGTCTGGGCTGTGCAGCCCTTCAGCCACATAAGGGATGGAGTTGGGGCTTACTCCTCTGCATAGCCATGTATGCAGTCTATATTGATTTCACGGATTTTGTATACTATTTATATTGATAGTATGCAATGACAACGCAAGTAAAATAGAGCAGACACTCCACAGGTGTAACTTAAAATTCTTAATAAAAAAGTCCCTAGGAACTAAGTGTTCAAATTGTTCTTGGTATAAAGAAGTGCATAGGACCGGGAAAGGCATGTCACCTCAAAATTGTCTCTTTATAGCGGGGAATAGGCTAGTCTGTCTGTGATTCAAATGGATACAGGATTTTGTTCCAGGGCTTTGCACACAAGGAAAATTGTGTTTACAGGGATGTGTGCATGTGCGGTTGGGGGAAGCACGTACAGAATGAGACATGTACAGAGGGAGTCACTTCCAGAGTGAATCAATGGCCACATAATGAGCAGCCTACCCAGCTGAATATTGATTAGTTAGTGTTGGCAAGGTTCTACTCTAGGGAGCTCAGTATTCCTGCCAGCTGCCTTGTATAAGACAAAGGAAGCCTTAGCAAATTATAAATGGCAGGGTTTATTTGGGAGGCACCACTTATAATAGGGAAACATGTTTGGCCGTAAAACAAACATGAAACATCAACCATCCTGTTAACTTTTGCTAATAAGTATCAGTGTATTTTATTAAATGCAATCAAAAGTTTGCCCTCATAGAACTTTACTTACAACTAATATTAGAGACTATGACTTGTCATTTCTACTGGTGGGGGGGGGGGCAGGGGTTGTTTTGTTTTTTAGTTGCTGGAGGTTCTCATTCCCGGACTCTCTCTCCCCTTCATGAGAAATTGAAGTCTTTCATAAACAACATTTTGGGGTCTTGCCCAATGCCATACAATGTATGTTTCATGTCCATTCATTAATGGAATTAATTTAAATATACTAAAATCATCATTTTTCCTAAGATTAGTTACTTAGTCACATTGCTACAGGAGTGGCATTGGCAGACAAACAGAACTACTAACAATAGTCTGATGAAATGAAAAATTATTCAGTCTGACTAAAAAGAAATCCTACCTTTTTAGAAGCAGAGTCTCCTTTCTCACAGGCTCTCTATGGAAAGAGAAATGGTACAAGTTAGGAGAAGGGGATCCGAAAATAGTATTCTACAAGCAATGGGCCCAGTTTATTCTTAGTGTAACTCTGACTTCAAGTAGAGTCACACCAGGGATTAATTTGGCCCTATGTCTTTGCCAAAGAACAGAAGCTGGCCAAAGACAGCTGCTTTTGCATTTCCTCAATGAATCTGTTCATTCTACCCTCATGATGGAGAGGCTGTAAACAAAGGCTCTTCATGATGTCTCATTGTGCTATGCATAATTATACTGTATATACTCCATAACTATACATGCTTCAAGGCACATTGCAAAAGCTTTCTACTTACCCTGGCTTTTTCTGAGAGGGTGGGTTAAGTGGAGAAAGGATAAGGGTAACAGTTAAAATGAAAAAGAAAAATCTTAATAGCTGCTTGGGATGGCAGTTGGGAATTCTCTAAACACAGTGTGGGGGAGATCAAGGGGGTGTTAAAAGAAAAGAAAAAAACTAACAAGACCTGCACCTAGCATCACCCTGATCACTTTGTTTGTATGTTTTAGCCATTTTGCTCACCCTTTCTTTGAGATTATAAGCTCTCTGAGACCAGAACTGTCAGGTTTGTATTGTACCTAGCACAATGAACTGGATTGGAGTTTTGGGGATTACATAAATATCACCTGGGTTGCTTCCCCCCCCATCCCCTCAGCCCCACAAAGTTGAGAGAGACTTTGTCCTCTGAAAATGTGACCCTTTCCCATATGAAAGTGTGCTTCTCAGGAAACTCCATCAGAGGGATCTCAAAGAGTTTTCCATTTCCTCTGGTTCTTTTCAACAGATTTTTTGGTGGGATAGGGCAATCTGGCCACCCTCGTTTATCAGTGCCGGAGCACATGCAGTTAGAAGCTGTCTTCTACAGACTCTGTAAATTTTTTGTGCTACAGAAATTCTACAAACTCTCTGAACATTGCACTATTTTAATCACAGAATGCACAAGCTTCTGCAGGTTTACTAGTGAAGATCCACATCGCCTGACTATGATCTCCTTTCACTGAGGTAGAAATCAGGAGTCACTCCATTGAAGTCACTGGAATTACAGCAGGGGAAAAAAATAATCTGCTGTAAAATCAGGATAGGGTTCGAATTTTTTTAAGCCACAGCTGTTTAGAAAGATTTTTTTTTTACCAGGTGGGTGTGCAGATCTTTTTAGCTCCTTGGTTTACAACATTTATTAATCCCACTAGTTTTGCCAGGAATATGACAATTTTGCAAGCTTCCTTTTCATGGGTCCACATTTTGCTGCCCTTTCACTGAACAGTATCTTATGCCAGAAGTAGCCCCTTTGACTTCAGTGGAAGTGTTAGTAAAGTTACTATTCAATGTAATTACTGGTGGTAGAATGTGGCCCATATTGAATTACTTAAATTCTGGCACCTAGTCATGTCAACATAATCCTAGGCACTAGATTTCATTGTGGATTATTGAGCAAAACAATCCTGAAGTGTGTAAATCAAGGCCGAGGCAACATCTACATTAGTGAGATCACTTGTATAGCTGCTCTATGCCAACGAGAGAAAGCTCCCATCAACATAATTAAACCACCCCCAACGATTGGGAGTAGCTATGTCAGGCTGAGAGTGTCTCCCACCAACATAGAACTGTCCACACCAGCACTCCCATCAGTGTAATTTATGTTACTCAGAGGGGTGTTTTTTTCACACCCCTGAACAGGGCCTGCTCCAGCATTTCTGCCGCCCCAAGCAAAAAAAAAAAAAGACTGCGATCGGTGGCAGCAGTTCAGCGGCAGGTCCTTCGCTCCTAGAGGGAGTGAGGGACCTGCCGCCCCCGAATTGCCGCAGGTGCCACCCCTCTCCCTTGGCCGCCCCAAGCACCTGCTTGTTAAGGTGGTGCCTGGAGCCAGCCCTGCCCCTGAGTGACAAATTATATCGACAAAAGTGCTAGGGTAGACAGCTGACTAGCAAATTTGAGAGATTTTTAAAAAATCATAGCACACCTCTTAATGCTATTATCTCTAACTTGTCTTACCTGATTAACCTCAACCACACTGACTCCTTTGGCTAGAGGCCACAATTGGTAAATTTCAGGCAGATTGGCACTTTTCTGAGGTGAGTAAGAAAACCAGGCTTCTAGAATTTGAGGTGCTTCCAGAGCTCTGTAACCACATTGAAATAACAGCTCCCTTTCTCCCAGGAGGGATTTGTACACAGGAAATATTACCACCCTCACAGTGCTAGTCATGAGGCACTCCCATTGAAAGTATCAGGGGAATAGCTGGGGAAGATGGTGGAGAACTAACAGGAATAAGACCTGCTCCCTCCTCTGCTCAAAGATCATGGCTAATGCTATTGTCCTCACCTAATCCCCAGTGTTTTATAAAGAAACACACTGCTAGTAGTCCCAGGAAATCTCCACTAGCATCAGGCACACTAGACTATATAGTTACCATGAAACTATTTAATGAGCCATGGACTTGCTCTAATATGGTTATTTAAAAAGATACTTCTGTTCATTTCTCTATTGAGTACAACCCCTCATCTCTGCAGCCAAGTCATTAGGGCCTGTTATTTTATTTATGTGCTGGCACTCAAGGGAGTGTCAAACTCCAAGTGCTAGAGGAAAGAAAAATATTAATTGACTTAAATAGAAATTACCTTTGAGGAAAACTCAAGTCAAGCAATTTTCATGCTGTAAAGAAGCAGAGGAGGTTGCCATTGTTAAGCTATTGTTTAAAACGTGGGTACACAGTTTAGGGCCGACAAAAGGAACAGCATGCACAAGACAGCTGATGCAGTAAACTATACCTCACTGTCGCTTTACAGAAACCAACACAGAAAATATCACTATTAAGACGCTATGTTATAAAAATCTTCCTCTAAAGATTTCCTCTAGGGAAGTAATATTGCTCTCTGAATTGTCCAACAACCAACTTGGGGCCTGATTCTGCAATCCTGGCACGTGGCTTTATTAGGACTACTGCCACGAGTAAGTGAATGAGAGTTGCAGATTCCAATCCATTGCAAGGAATTTCACCACTGCAAGCAACAAGGTTGTCTGCCTAGGTAAACCCCTTTGTGTTTGGCAGTGGTGCAACCATGACTGGAGCACAGTAGCCAGTTCTGGTGTCCACAATTCAATAATGTTGTTGATTGATTAGAGAGGATTCAGAGAAGAGCCTCCAGAAGGATTAAAGGATTGGGAGACATGCCTTATGCTGTGTCTAGAGATAGATTCATGAGCTCCATCTGCTCAGTTTAACAAAGAGAAAGTTAAGGGGTGACTTGGTATAAGTAAATACATGGGGAACAAAAAGATGATAATAGGCTTTTGAATCTAGCAGACAGGTCTATAACATGACCCAAAGGCTGGAAGTTGAAGCTAGATAAATGCAGACTGAAAGTAAGTCACAAATTGTAACAGTGAGGGAAATTGGTCAATTATTCCAGTGACTAACTGCAGGGGTGTGTTCTCTATCACTGGCAATTTTTAAATCCAGTTTGGATATTTTTTCTAAAAGATCTGCTCTACTTCAAACAGGTCTTAACTATGGCCAGTGTTATACTGGAGAGCCAATTATATGATCACAGTCATTCCTTTTGGGTGTATAACCTGTCAACCTAGAGGATTATAATGCTTTAGCCCTGGTAGGGAACATCAAGGGAATTGATGCATACCAGAAAACAAAGGACCTGGAAAACATCCAGGACGCATTCAAGAGACTGCTTTTCCATACTCAAAATGTCAAAATTATGCTTAAGAAATGTCATCTTACCTATTAAAGCAAATTTAATCCTTAAAGGGTGCCAATTTGAGTACAATAATATCTATAGAATGAACACAGCATAGACTATGGCTATCCCATGCATGCTGCCAGTGTCTCAACTCTCATTTATCTTTTTGGGGAATCACCTCTAAGGGCAAGAAGGCAGTTGGCCTTTCTACTGACACTGCCAGCATAGTATTAGTGAAGTAGCAATGGCAGTTTTGTCCTCTGTGGACACCCACTGATAAGGGACTGAGAGCACTCAAGCCTTGATTCTGCAAACTGATCCACATAAACTGACCTCTATGCTCCATCATGTGATCAGACCTCTATGTTCCATCGACTCTCATGCTTTATGCACTGATCAGCTTGTGGGATTGGAATATAACTCATTAAAACTAAGCAGGTCTGAAATGCTAACAGCTTTCATTCACTACGTATGTATCCCAGACTAGACCTGCTTTGCAGCTCACTGCTAGCGAGAGTTGTCAGAAACAGAGTAGACTCAGCTCACAGGGCTTCAAAGCATCAATTTTGGCTTGTGTGGGTTCCACCCTTGAGTTCCATTTTGCTCTGGCTTCAAATGAAGGCTAGAACACAATGCTAAATGTTTTTTGTGGCTTGGGGTCAAAGCCATCCAGATTTTCACCCAAACCATAAATCAGCCCACGCTTGCTTGAAATTTTGCCCAAGGTTCCTGAAAAGTTCATGAACTTTGGTGAAAATGCCCTAAACTTTAGGCTGGAAATTAAAAACAAAACAAAAAACTTTCCACTTTCAACAGGTTTTATTACAAACATTTTGGCTAGCTCTCGTACGGATCCCTTAAAGGAAAACACCAATGTTTTTCTATTAAACACTAAAATCCTTCCCCATTCCTTGTATTCTTTGCCCAGTCTCCATTTTCCAACATGTCTAGATTTTTTCATCCAGGTTCCATCTGTGCCTCAGATGAACCTAGGGTCTGGGATGAGACAGAGGCCCAAACCATGGAAACAATTAAGCTTATGCATAACTATTTCACTCACATGGATAAACCCAGTGGGATTACTCAGGTGAGCAAAGTTATGCCTGTGCTTACACGTTTGTGGGATCAGGGCCAAAATTTTCATGCTGTCTCAATGGGATCAAATTGTGACTAAATGAAATAAGGAAATCTTTGAAGAGTGAGTTTTTTTACAGGATCCTCACTGTTAGTGACTGATTTTAGCATAAATGAAGTAATAATTCCATTTTAAAT